GATAAACGTGCCTCCTAAGTGGTTCCACCACAAAGTCGCAGCAAATTAAATAACAATACGTAAATTTTGACGTGACGTCAAAATAGTAGTCTTGTTTATTTTTTTCGCTATTTATGCAAATGAGCTACTCCAGCACATCCCTTTGTAACTTGTTATCCCCCACCTTTTTAATACAGAAACCGGTTCGATATTTGTCTTATATTCTACATATTAAATTTTTCTGCGTACCCGGGAGGAATCTAAAGGTCAAAGGTTACAGTATTGTATTCTAAGAATGCTCTTTCTTAGCTCCTAAGAATGACAATGAAGACGTTGAAACATTAATCTATAAAGTTGCAACCGGTCATCTAGTGAATGTTGCCTGTACCAAGAATTATATGGTAATTTAATTTTTATTCAAATTACAAGCTTTAATATGTATTTTTTAGATTAAAATATTCAAAAAAATTCTCTTTTCAATAACGTGATGAAATAATGCATACAATAATAGGCGCTACTTTAAAAAGGGCAAAACTAGAGAGATTTAATAATAGAAGAATGCATATAAAGATGGAAGTAACAAGGATTTTGACAAATGAGATAAATAGGGGATTGCTTTATCCTATTCTACACATTAATAATATTCCATTTTACATCTTTACAGTCTCCTTTTTTATGACGTCACGTCTCCACTTTACATATTTATAAACCTCCATTTTACACCTTTGGTCTCTCGTTTTACAACTTCAAATATAGCTCGAAAACTATAAATTTGTAAAACGAGAGACTGTAAAGGTTCAAAATAAAGGTTTGTAAATTGTAAAGAAAACTAAAATCAAAAAGGCGGCTGTAAAATTGAGATGTAATAGATTACAAATATTTAAAATGGAGGACTAGTCCTCCATTTTACATATTTGTAATCTTCTACGCCTTTACATCTCTTCGTTCTCCTCCAATTTACGTCTTTAAAGTGTCCTATTTTACATAAACCTCGATTTTACACCTTTCGTCTCCCACTTTACAACAAAACAAAGTTATAGGCCAGGGTATAAATTAAGAAAACACGAGCCCGTAGGCAAAATCATAAACAACAGAAGGATTCTATCACAAAAATAGAAACGAACAAGGCAATTGTCGGGATCAATAGGGGATCATTAAAAGTCTTATCTAACTACCAAACAGACGTCGAGTTAACAACTTATGATCCTCGATCGTTTCCAGGTTATTAGTTTGTTATTAGAAGAGCACTCAAGTCGCTGACACCACTTAACAACAGATAATCATTATCGATAAGAAGAAAACCCCCTTTTTTTTTCTTTAGCTAATCACTAATCGCTACCTCGATATAACGATGTCCTCCTGTGTGACTAATAGAAACGGTGGCTAATAATCGACACAATTTAGTAACGCGTAACACACAACACACACACTCGTCTTAATTTATTAGGTAAGTGACAAGGAAGCGTTACGACTCTCCATTGTTCTGTTTAGAAGTAAAATAATCACCTGAGCCTCGAGGTATAACGAGGCAAAGACCTATGATTAGTAAAACAAACCACAGATGAAGACTTAAGTCGTAGAGGTAAAGTGGTGTTAGTAACATGGAACGAACCCCCCATCAATATTCTGCAACACGCACTATGAAAAATCCTGACAACTTAGCAGATAGCTCTGTAGATAACACTGCACCTCACACGCCGCGTGATGGATAACGGCTAATGATATGGAAGGGGAGAGAGTTGGAGGTTGGCTACGACCGTTACAGGGCATTGTCGTGCAGCGACATCTATAGGCAAACGTGATTAACTTACCACCTTAGTCGAAGATAGATAAGTAGTTGTTACGTTACTGTTAACTTTGGTTCATTTCGGTGGATATAATTGAAGAGTGCGTGTGGTGTGCGGTGTTTATCTCCTTCGCCCCCTCTTACGAAGCAATTTAAAAAAAAAATTACCGCTACTCGAACAATAAGAGAGATAATTTGAATTATTTTATTGTCTACGTTTGTTTTAAAATTTTTTTTGGCACGGACGGAATGTGCTCTTGTACCAAACCCCATTATAAAACTGAAGTTTTGGGATTTAAAACTAGTTCTGAGTAAAATGAAGTTTTTTTTAGAGTTACGTTTTTGGATAAAATGGTCCCTTCATATAATCACGTGATTCAACGAAAATTTCTATAAATTACGTTCCAAATAGCACATGACACCCTCCTACAACGAACGAAAATCAACAACACCCAATTCTAGTTACAGAGAATAATAAATTAGAGAAATTCACCAGCGGCACTATTGATGGCATCCATTCCTACCACCCTACAAGGTCACATTTTCTAAAAAAAGAACCCGAAATTTCCAAGAAATTTGCAATTACAAGCAGCGAACGCCGAGATAAAGAGGGAGGAGGTTTGCACTTGCCACAATGGAGGACAATCAGGGGGTTGTTGAGTAGAGAATGCGATCGGATAGTAAATCACGATCGGTCATCCAATAAAATTCGGCTAATCCCGAAGAACGTCACGAGAGAACCACAGCACGAGACTATTTTGTGGCAATTCCAACAACACTAATCCCTTCCATTAAATCTGAAGCGAGAAACATTAGTAGCTCCTCTCTCCCACTCCTAGTAAATATTAGTGCAGAGATTTAAGATTTAAAAAGGTAAAGTCTTTGGAATCACCTCGATAAATACGTCACAACTAAAGTTCGTTAAAGATGGAACGACCCCATTTTTCATTGGGGATTTTCTAGATTTAGGTGTTTTTTTTTTTGGAAATTCTAACAATTTTCTCTTTTTCAAAAATGTATGCCAATCCAATTCCATCTCTTCTAAAGAGTGAATTGTTCGCTTAATTTTCATTTTAATAATACAGTAATAAAATGCAATTTATAAGAAAACAATAATTGAAATTTTTTGGAAGAATCTAATGTACTGTACAGTATTTAAATGCCCTCTTAAACTTTTTGACAAAGAATTAGAAAAATCCGCGTGTTTTTAGTAAGAAAAATCCATTAGTTTTTAATAAAATGCAAAAAATAAAAACAATATTTTCCGTAATAAAATGAAAATCAGTCATTTTTGGGGAAAACTGGGTTATTTTTAGCAGGAAATGGGTAAAAATACAGTTATTTTTAATCAGAAAATAGGAAAATCCTGGTTATATTTAGTAGGAAAAGATAAAAAAAAAACCCTAATTTTTAAAGGAAAACTAAAAAAATCGTTATTTTTAGTGAAGAAAAAAAAATGAAGAAAATAAGGGATTTTCAGTTGATAAAACCATTCATTTTCAGTAGAAAAATTAACTTTTTTTTATTCAAAAAAGTAAAAACAAAAATAATTATATTTTAATATAATATGAAAGAAAATCCTATTTTTCAGAGTTTAAAATTATTTTAAAGACAAAATCCCTCTTTTTGAGTATAAAATAGTAGAACAACTGTTAAGTCCCGTTGACACATGAAAACCACTTCATCAGTTAACAGAATAAAAGATCTTCTAACTTAAAATTACGGCTGACAAGCCAGTGTAATAAATAAATTTGTGAGCAGACAAAAGACAAACTTTGGAAAGGATCAAGAAACTAATTTGAAGAGTTAAATGAATTTAAAAAAGTATATATATTTCTCGTCGTAAATCCTATTTTGAAAGTATTAAATTGGTGTAAAAGTTATTTATGTGCATACTCAATGTTGTAATATTGGATTTCCATATTATGGAAGGCATTTGCTAGCACTTCTCACGTTTGTAATAAATTATAAGTTGATTTATTAGCGGCTTTACATGTAAATTATGCAAATTAAATCATGTGGAATGTTTCATTAATTATTACATTATTGGTTTAGTCGTAATGGAAAAGATGGATGAAAAATAGAATAAAATCAAGTTTTTCTTCATATTTTCCTGCCATAAAACTTTAATCAAAATTTAGCTTATCTCTTAATTTAAAATATTTTATATTTTTTGGGTGATTTACACGAATATAGAATACATAACTATATAAACATACCACCATTTCCACGCTTAAAATGCTACTGTAAATTAGAATTATACTATATGTAGTGTGTGTGTGTATTTCTATTTTTGACAAGCTATTAACATTTTTAATATAATATGTGGAGCTTAAAAAACTGACCATTAGAATGTAGAAATGCTCACAAATCTTTAGTACTTAACATGTAAAATCTCCAATTTTTATGAGTTACCTAAATTAATTTCCACATTTTAAATATTTAAACTTATAAACTACTTTTAAAATATAACCACATTGTATATAAACTACATTTAAAGCATAACTTCAGAGTTGGAGGAACAGCTACAGATTGGCAGGCAGAATTACTAATGAATTGTGGTTTGAATCTTGTGTGTAGTTTGGAAAGAATGGGTTAGGTACTAGCTATCAGTTAATTTCATTGTGATCCTATCTATAATGGATAAATATAGGGTAAAATGTGCAGCCTGTAATATGCTGGTATCTCATCTCAATCCAGGAACAGATTCAATGCAGATAATGAATCAAAAGAAATGACTTTTACATATTGCTGTATGTCCATCTCCTTATAGAGAATGGTTATGCAGAAAATTGTGCATAATGTTCTGCATATTTTAATTACATTTTATATTTTTGCACTATATTTAAATGCACAGATATTAATTTGCGAGAGCAAGAATTAGTATACAAAAAATTAAAAATTTTTCAGCATCTCCAAATATAACTGTAAAAAATCCTAAATCTACAGAACTTATTGAATTTGCAACTATATAAATATACACATCAATTGAAACCTGATATCTTAAGCAAATACACATACAACTGCCATAAATAATCGGGCTAAATTTTGGATATATGATCATATATCCAAAATTTAGCCTGATCATTTACAGCAGTTGTAAATGATTTGCAATTATATATCTCAAAGCATTAGATTCTTGTCTTAAACACTAAATAAAGAATTATTAAAAATTATATCATAACAAATTTTTATTTCTTTAAACAATTTATTTACTTTCAAATATTTTTTTTACATAAAATATATAAATTATTTTATTTACAAAAATTTGTATAAAAATTAAAATTATCTGATTTCCAAATAATCGAATACACTATTCTTCACAGATGCATGGTCTTTAGAAGTTGGTGCTGTGCTACTAAATTTCAGTCTTTTGTTCTGAGAAAGAGAGAGGTCGAGTTTTCTTTTCAAATTCTGAACCTAAAAATTACAATTAAATAACATTAATTGTTGCATTTATTTAAGAACTATCCATTGCAAAAATTTCAAAAATAAGCTAATAATTGTAAAAGTCAATTAAAACACTGTATGTGGAAAGTCTTATGTTTGATTTTGAATATTTTACAATATTCAAAATCAAATTTTAGTTACTGTATTTTTCATTTAAAATAAAATTTTTATACTGAGTTTTATGTTAATTTAATATCAAATTTGATCAATCTTCCACAGTATTCAACAGCAAATATGATCTGTTCATTTACTATTAACTTACAAATTTGTTCCAAAGATATATGCCAATCAAGTTTTCATATACAAAAGTAATTAGTCTCTACTCACCTGATTTTATTAATAAAATTACCATGTTGAATTTTCTGTATATTTATATGCAAAATAAAATGTTTCCAGATAACAAATGTTCAATCAAATTTTAAAGTGAGAGAAAAGTTTGGCATTAAACTATATATATATAGTTTAATGCCAAACTTTTCTCTCACTTTAAAATTTGATTCAAAATTGAGTCAAAAATGAAATATATATATATATATATTTTCATTTTTGACTCTGCTATGGGTAACTAAGAGGGCATTTTGATCATACCCATTACAGGTTTGGTCAGGCCCAGTGAAAATGGCCAGATAAGGAACAGACCAGCCATGAAAAATTTATAGGTGTTTTTGACTGCTTGGATTCAATCCAATTGAAAAACCACAGAAAAACTTAATTTAAAAGTTAGAAAATTTACAATTACACTCTAACCATAGTTTAAATGCCAAAAGTGTAATTTTTCTCTACTGTTTCATTTCTTTATGAATGCACAAAAATGTATAAATTATTTACTGCAAATAAATCATGTTCTTCAATTTTACTTCATTTGAAAAACAAAAAAATCTTAAGCAATAACCTTTTCCAACAGAATTTGAAGAGGAGCTTAATGCAAATTCTGATTTTATCAAATTTATTAGCTTAAGAGATAAAAACATTTTCCAAAACTTTAGTTAGTAATGTTTATAATAGTTTTTACCTTTGTTTCATTCTCTTTTTCTGGAACAGATGTCTGGAAAATAATGTTTTTGGTGCAACGACGGCCAACACCTTCATCCTCTTTTTTTAAATTTAGGGCAAGCCTGTTTAAAAAGTCTTTACCTTTTGCTAAAAACGAACTTGAACAGTTCTGAAAAATAAAATACATACATATACATATATATATATATATATATATTAAATAATAATAA